AGCTGTGCCGGGTCTATGGACCTAACATCATGAGCAAGCAGATCGTGCGTCGCTGGTGCAGACAATTTTCAGCAGGTCGACAAAGTGTGCATGATGAGAAGCGCAGTGGGCAGCCATCCATCATTACAGATGACCTGGTGGAGCTTGTGCGGGAATGCATAATGGAGAATCGTCGCATCACAATTGCGGAACTTAGCAGTCATGTCCCACAGATTTCCCGCACCTTGTTGCACGAAATTGTCACGGAGCACCTGTTGTTCAGGAAATTATGCACCAGGTGGGTGCCGAAGCAGCTGACACCAGAACACAAAACAAAGCGCATGGAGTCAGCATTGACCTTTCTGCAGCGGTACCATGATGACAGAGACGAGTTTCTGGACCGGATCATCACAGGTGATGAAACGTGGATTGCACACATTACCCCAGAAACCAAGCAGCAGTCAATGCATTGGCGTCACAGTGGATCTCCCTGTAAGATGAAATTCAAGCAGATGTTGTCGGCGCGGAAAGTGATGTGCACGGTATTCTGGGACAGATGGGGCGTTCTCCACGTCGACTTGCTGACCAAAGGTGAGACGGTGAATGCTGAGCGTTACTGTGAAACACTGCAGAAATTGTGACGGGCCATTCAGAACAAGCAGCGCAGGATGCTTAGTGCCGGTATTGTCTTCCTGCACGATAACGCTAGGCCACACATGACTTGACGGACAGCAAGTCTCCTGCAGGAGTTCAGCTGGGAGGTGTTTAATCATCCACCCTACAGCCCGGACCTCGCTCCCAGTGATTTCCATCTTTTCCTACACCTCAAGAAATTCCTGTCCGGTGAGCGTCAGCGTTTTTTGAATGACAGAGAGGCGGAGATGGTTGTCACACAGTGGTTCCAATCCCAGGCGGCAGATTACTATGACACAAGTATTCAAAAGTTGGTCCCACAGTATGACAAATGTCTCAATTCCGGTGGCGATTATGTTGAAAAATAACTGAACACTTGCTGTATCTGTTGCAATAAACATTTCCATGAAATTGTGTTTTGTTTCTGTAAACGGCCCCAGGGAAACTTACTTTGTGGACAAGCCTTGTATATAAACAAAGATGCTCATTATGAGCTTTGGTCAGACCAGCATAATAAGAACTGAGCAATATACAGCTAGAACATATTTCTGTTTCCATGTAGGTGCTGCTTGTGTTCATGCATCCCATACTGCATGGATTCCTGCAAGAATGTGAGACACACCTGCCCAAACTGCAAGACCTTCCTTGGGATGTACAAGCCATAATCATTGCTGGCCCAGAATTGCGAATTATCCAGAGATGAGGCTCATAAGTGACAATTCAATGGCAGTAATGTAAGACACAAGTATTTTAGGAAGACGTGGAATTTTGTCCAGCAAGTAACCTATAGGAAGTATTACAGTTTGTAGAATTTAGGTTTGATGATAGTAAATCTGGAAGTTACCATATTTAACTGAATGTAAGATGGTGCATGATGTGAATGCAAGGTCACCTTTGTCTTCAGTTTTGCATTAAGTGGCCAGTATTATGCTGGGTTTCATTGGCATTGTTCTTCCCGCTTAACATAATGCCATAGGATGGAGAACAAACCAGTTTTCTTCATATTTGCTGCTACATTTTATGTAATAAATAAGAAAATATAGAACAAAGGAAGTTTTGAGCATTTTTTAAATAGGAAAATTGGTATGAGCAAGGTTTCACTTTCTAGGAGATTTGTGATAATCCTGAGAAGGTACAAAATATCCAGCATTTTAAAATTGGTTCTGTATTAGGGACCCTTAGGGTACTGCAGTACATGAGACCGAATATTAGTATATTTCATGCCTTCTGAGGTGTTGATTTGTATTGTTCCTCTTTTAAGCAGCACAACTAAAAACTTAGGGATGTGTGTAAATAAGGCGGTAGGAGCATTTTCTGTCATACATATGGTAATGTTCTTATTTCCTAGAGAATGTGGTATGCTTGGCTTTCAGTATGCAGGACACATTAGCCTTGAACATGCACATGAGTGACTTTGTATTCATATTAGAGCGTTTTGACATGCATATGTGTATAATCAGTCCTTTCCTGCCTCTGTACTACAGCTTGTTTGACAGACTGATTCACATGCCTTTTATAAAATGTGTGTATCTTATGCTTTCTTTCAAACTCTACTTTGTAATTCTGCAAGCAAATTTTCAGTTCAGCATTTAACATGATGTTACATTTTGTTTTAATTCAATGGTAATGTTCAGTTCAGTGACAAAGTTGCTGGTAACATATGACTGAAACCGTGACTGATTTTGTATGTTCTTGATACTGTCAGTGGCATTAAATAAACAACTTAAACAATTGAAACCCTGACAGGAAAGCTAAGAAAACAAAATTACAACATATCGTGAAATAAAGAGCATTTACTTTTTTGATCAAAATATATTTTATTACGAGTTTGCATTATAATGTAATTTTGAAAAGGTAGGTAGTGTTAAGATAATTGTCTCTTAGTAATGATTTCTCTAAATATACTGGGTGATTAAAAGTCCTATGACCAAACTTTCAGAGGTTGGGGAAATAATTTGAAGCAGAAGGAGTAAATAAATTGTGTGTTCAGTTCCCTCCCATGTCTCGTTAACATTTCGCATGGCTGTATCATTAGAAACACTGAAGTGGGTTCAGGTAAGGAGAACGTGGAAGCCAGGCAGTCTGATGTGTATGACCAAGCCATATATCCAAAAAATGGTAATTAATTATGCACTTAGCATGAAAAGCCATAAGGGGTGCTCTGCTTGCCATCATGAACATAAGGGGTTTAACCACCAATAAAAGAGGAAGCATGATTTGAATGAAGTCAATGTACTGGATTCCACCAAGGTGATATACTGTTACATATGGTCTGTTTATGTGATATACAATTCTGGCCCACACACTGATACTAAATCTTTGTTGAAATTAGAGTGTGTTGAATAGCATGAGGATTCTTCAGTGCCCTTTCCTATAGATTTTGAAAACTGTGAATACCACCTCATCAATCCACAATACACAGCAAATTGAGGGTTCTGCATTTTGTGTAGAAGCCATGGAGGCAGATATTGTCCCTGGCTGTAGCTTTGGTTTACATGAAAAGTCTGCAGCTGGTGCTCATGCATTGTATTCAAAGCAGCTGTGAGAGAAATGTGTTTCATATGTGACTTGACTGATGTTACCCTGTGGATTAGCATCCATTATGGACAGACCCAAGAGAATCAATAACCACTTCAGAGTTTTTATGTACCATGTGTTCATGTCTGGAAGGTACTTTGCACTGAGGTGTGTTGCTCTGTAGGCTAGCTGTTTAAATCCTTCCAGTCAAAGCTATTGATGCTCTTTTATTTGAGACAACGTACTTGGTTGATGCCAGTATTGACTTCTCTGTTTAGGTTCCTGATCATTAGAAAATATAAATTATAGAATAATTGTTGACACCGTCAAGTGTGATTCAATTTGTAGACATTTATTGCCTTTACATGTTTCTGTCAGGTGACCATCTTCAGAAGGCATAAGATAAACATGTTCAGGAACTACTGTTACAAAGTTTGTAATACATACATATAGGTTTTTATACAAAACGTTATTTACAATTATTTGGATTAAAATCTTATTAATGTCTAATATTTGAGATCTTGAACTGATGTGGTTTGTGTCCTTGTGCCTCTTCTGTTAAAACAGAATGTTGGGGTATTATTTGGAGTCCTCAGGGGTCCTCTCAGTGATGCCCCCCCCCCCCACATTTTTTAGCTTGCTATGGTTCTGCAATTATATTTTATATATATAATACCCATAATATAAATAGTCATATATTAACACTGATCACATATCTATATCCCACATGTGGGAGTGCTGCTACTCATGGATCCATTTGGACACAACTGATGTGGAAAATACATGGTCACATAACACTTCAAGCCAGCATGTAGGTCCCTATTGGTTATACAGTGCAAATTTTGAAGGATATTTTTTATTTGTGCTCATTTTAGAAGGTACCCAACAGAATTTTAAGGCATTTATAGTGATGTTAAAAATATTTTGAAGGTTAAGGTGGCATGGTTATCTGTGTTAAATCTTGAAACAGTTCTCAGAGCAGATGACATGAATTTATTATAGGCATCTGGTGTATTTTTATAATCATCTGGATAATAGAACATGAAGTTCATTGCTGACTATCTTTCCAGTTCAGAACACAGGATCATGGTTTTATTTCATTCTTCTGTGCTCTGTGGATTTTGCAACATATAGCATTTCATTTAAGTAACTGTTGTATCACTAATTGAATGGTCAAAATATAGCTTTAAAGATTACAAGTCATATCTGATAGAATTTGCTGGACTCACTGCTTTCAGAGAACTACTTTGTTTAGACTCAAAGGATCATATCTTTTCCTGTCTCTAGTCACTTTTTTTTTATTCTGGACCTCATAGATCCTCTGTACCATGCAGTTGAGGATGCTGTCTATAGGGCTGAGGTGTTCTTTTGTAGTCCACATCATTACAGAGAAGTTTCAGGTTTAATATACAATTATGCAATCTGTTTTCAGAAAATAACTGAAATGGAACTAATTAAATACATATCATGATAATCTTGCAGTTTGATGATGGAGGCTTCAGGCATTGTCTCACTTCTGGTTCAGCATTAGTTCAAATCCCCTCCCCCAGTAGAGTTCAGCCTTCTGCAAAATTATGTTGTGTATGATTCATGTCTGAGAAAATAATGCTGATTGTGGTCAGATATGAAACAAATTGAAGGCTTGGTTGCAAATTACTGTAATCATGCTGATTTTCATGTTCTTAAAGAGGTTGCTTTAACACAAGGTTGGTCTTACTTGAGATCACAAACAAAAGTTGATAGATTGCTTAGTTTACAGCATTTGTGTAGGGTGTGGTAGTTATGTCATTCACATTCCAGCTGATGGATATGTATTTCATGATTACCACCTGCATTAGATAAGATTCATTTCATCACAACAGATGGGTGTAGACAACCAAATGTTACTTATACTTATATATCTACAATTCACATTCCAGCCATATTGCTTAGGATAGTGCCACTGCTTGCATAATGAATACCGTTTTATCTTTTTGTTCATGTACTTCATTTTTAATTGTTTGCTCTTCCATACCTGTGTACCTTAGGAATAAGATACTTCCAAGTTTTTTGTAAGCAATTGCAAATTTCAAGATTTATTGTAACTTTCTTACTGTAAAGAACTTTTGTATTAGTCCTATGTGAACAAACATTTTTTTAATTTAGAAGTTATTAATGAAGTACTTATATACTATAATGGTGGTGTCATACTGTTACTGCAGCATACGCTAGGTTTGATAATAGAAGCCCTACAATGGTGCTGAGATAAACATGCCAGATGGCACACACTTCCCAATCACAGGGTTTTATGTTTACACAGTTGAAAGTATTGAGCATTTGTGCCAGGAATCAGAGTGGCCAACATAAACTAACAATGCATACTTTGAGTTTTGCTTTAAACTAGTGGGAACAGCTACATGTCAAAGACTGAATTTGGTGATTAAGCTATATTTACTGTGATTCCATATAAAATGCTTGAAAGATATGATTCAGTAGCACACAACCTGACTTGCCTGGCAGAGGGAAATGGTTTGATTTGAGAAAACTTGTATGTGATTATCATGGAAATGTCATATGTCTAGGGTTGCTAAATGTTTACTGACGATATGGAGATACAGCAAGTTTGCTGCCCCATGGTATAGTTACAGTATATGTAGCCCATTCCTTGCACACATGTCACAGCTACTGTTTGACCCCTCTTCCTGTTTCCTGTGTGTTTACCAGCAGTGGAAGAAAGTTGTAAATAAACATAAAGGAACTAAATCTGTTCAGTATAAATTAATTCATTGAGTGCTTTTGAAAAGCGGATATACTGGGACTCGGTAAATTAATATAGGCATGAAATCTGTGTTGTCCAGAATTATTGAAAGCTTTAATACTGAAATTTTGAATACTTTGTGCCCTGTGCTAGAAGCAGAAATAGATTTGACTTAAGAAAATGAGTTTAAGTTTAAATTATAGAAACAGATGTATCTAATTCCAGTGCCAGAATGCACCAGTTGTGGTCATAAAGCAGCACACAGGAAGGTGATTTGTGCTCTGTTGGGAGCATCATGAAGAGGTGCCAAAAGACAAAGTGACATGTGTTAAAGAGTTGTGTGAATAATAATGATTATTACTGTGATGTCATATAATACATATGGTGCTAATGAGTTTTTTTTATGTTGCTGCTATTTTGCTGATGGGATGTTTCGGCACCCCCATTTTTTTTGTCTTGATATTTGTCATGTCTGCAGTTTATCTGATGTGGTTTATAACAGCAGTTCATTGACTTGTGTAGCAGAGATTTGTAAAGGGACAATAAATAACGAAATATGACAGATTTCTTTCCAAGAATGAACTCTAGTCCCCAGTAACATTTAGTAGTATGGTGGGGGACATTTTTATTTTTAACAAAAGCAGCAAAAAAATGTAGCTCTCACTACATCTACCAGCCCTATCATGTGAAAGTATATAGTTCAGATGAGGGGCTGCACTGGTAATGGGAATGGCAAGGCCCACAGTGCTTGTCCATCTGTTCAAGATAACTATGTAGTTATGTGCTAAATGGGGATCCAAGATATCTGAAGCAGATTCCAGATGCGATGTTACCTTGTTACATTTTATATATTTTCCATATATTTGATAAAACATTGTTCTCTATATCTTAAAAGTACATTGTAGTGTTATATCTAAATATATACTGTATTTGTATGCTTTGAATGATAAATCATTTTAACATATCGTCTGTTATTCAATGTAGAAAACCAAGATAGTCCTACAAGTATCTCATGAACTAGTTTTTCTTTTCCTGCTAGTCATCATTCCATCAGTGTTGCATATTCATCCGTAATCATTCCTGAGATTGCTGTAGGCAGTGCCAGTATGACAGCATAGGTGAATCAAGCAGCTGCCTGGTGTATCACAGTTTTATGGATGGCACATTTTACAAACTGTCTTTTAGTGAAAATTAATTTATACTGATCTTTTTATTTGCATCATCATTAATTTGGAGTAATCTAAAACATATTATGTAGCAATGTAAAAATTTGTTCTATGAATTTTGACACCAGTTACAGTTTTTGTCATGCTCTCTGGAAATTTATGTTATTGGTTGTGAAATTTTGAGAAACTTAATATGTTTTTAACTGGGGGGCTGGATTTCTTGTTATCTGGTGCAGCATTAGGCTTGTGCTCGTCCTGGCTGCAGGCCTGACCACCCTGCATATTACGGGGCTCTACTTCTGACCTAGCATCTTGTCTGTACTCACAGTAAGAGAGTTTAGTTCTTTGTGTGTTTGCTACCCTGTGGAGCACCTACTAAATTAATTCCGCCTGTCCATCTATATGCATGCGACAACTTGGGAACTGTTGAACAGATTTTCGTAAAGTTTGATATTAGGAGGTTTAAAAAGATTGCTTTCCAGATGCATAATAATTAAGAAGACCCCTCCACCCCCAGTTCAGATGTATAGGACTACATGCATGTAAACAGGAGCCAGGATAACTCAGTCAGTATAGTGACTGGGCTGTGAGCTGGACAACATGAGTTCATTTGTTGGCAGGGATTAAATGTTTCTTTTTAAATAGTGCCTAGAATGGCTCTGAGGCCCACCCAGCATCATATCCAGTGAGTACAAGAGGTTCTATCCCAGGGAGTAAAGCTGACCACTGACCTCCATTGAGTGCCATGGTTAAGAATGGTTGAGTTATACCTCCACTCCCCCATGTCCCCTCATAGCATAGTTCTCAGTTTGTTAAGTACAGTGATGACTACCTTTACATTTCTTTTCAAGTGAATGTTCAGATAGAACTTAGATGCAGACCATGACAGTTGCCTTCCACATTCTTTCCAAGTCATTCATTAATAATATTACCTTGGATACTATACGGAGTGTTCAGTTTATCTTGATCACTTAAAAATCTCTTTATTCAGGATCAAATTAAAAACTTTTGAAATTAAGGTTGTTGGTTGTGAGGGGTAGACATACCATACACTTTGTATATAACATTTTTTGTTAATCATTCAATTGTGGAATGCCCGGCCATTCTCTTGATCCCACACCATTGGATTCATTTTATAGAGAACCCTTGAGGGCATTTGGGTACCAGGATGGCAGCACCCCCAGAAAATATGTGCCAACATTATTAATGCCTGTGCTACCATGAATCCCCTGCATAATAGTGGTAAGGGTTGTGGGAACATCCCACATACTAACACGTGGTTTCACCGGTCAAACAGACAGCAGTCACTCCTAGTCAATATCACATTGCTGCATGTTGCTGCCACCACTTGTATTTGTATAGCACTCGATGTCCAGCCCACCTGTACAGCATCACATGCCAGCACTCTCAATCGCAACTGCAAGTTTAAGCTCCGCCCAGCAAGCATGGTATAGAAGCGGAGCCCAAAGCTCGCAATCATCAGTGAACACTTTTCAGTCATCAGAGTCATCAGCTCTTCTCTGCGCCAAAGACAGCTGCCGCAACTCTCCAGCAACTGCACTCTGCTACCAGACAGCTAACATAGCTACTGCAACTCTCCAGCAACCTCACCCTGTGACCAGGCAGCTAACGTAGTTGCCGCAACTCTCCAGCAACCTCACTCTGCAACCAGGCAGCTATTGTAATTGCCGAAACTCTCCAGCAACGGCGCAGTAGGCAGCTGTTACTACAGGCGCACCCAGCACCACATTACCGGCCGGTCAGACCAGCTGAATGGCTGTAAAGACTGGTCAACTACAAAGGAGCAAATTCTACCTACGGTGGAACACACTGTCCTTTTCAGGGCCAGCCAACTCTTGACATTCCACACAGCTTTGCAGCTATTCTGTACATTCAATTTATACAATTGTTACAGATTTACGTGGTTGTCTTTTAGAACATCGACAATCCCACAGGGTTTTTTTTTGTACCAGCTAACAAACTTTTGTTGTATAATTATATTTCCAGCACAGTAACAACAATGCAAACTAGATATGGGAGTGTTATCTTTGACAGTCTTATCGTAAATGTACGTGTATTTCCAGTGTTTAGTACATGATTACTCATATACCTGATCATCTTATATCCATGCATCCAGAATTCTTGTGCAACTGCCAAAAAAAGTCAAAGAAGATTTGCCATATTTATAAAGTTACTTCAAGGACAAGCTGTGATGCTCATATATTCACCTGCCACTGACTCAGCATCTAACAGAAACAAGTACCGGGAATTAATTAAATAATTTTCCTGGGGAGTAAAGCGCGGCTGGCATGTAAGGCTGACAACCTTACTGCCATCTTTGAGCCAATTGTCTAGATAATGTGGGACCCTCAACGTCTCACAACCCTCTGGGCCTTCATGGCCTGGTACAGGGATAGCTTTACTTACTTTTTTTTTTTTTTTACTGGCTAGTTCTCATAGGCACCACTAGCAATGGTACCCATTCTTCCTCACGTAGGTGCCAGTAGAGGCTAATTGAATCTGTGACTGTATTACAATATATCTAAATCTGTCACCCAACATTTCCCCATGTCACCTGTTTTTGATAATGTACAGTCTTTGTTTATTAGACTACTGTAGGGTTTCTATAAGAATTTTTCTCTTGCAACCACCAGTTTCCTGTAATCTGCAAATCTAATTCTCCATACATTTCACGTAACTGGGCCTTTGCAATATTATCAGTATCCTACATAAACACCATATAACCATATCTTCTATGTATGTAGATGATGATCTTATTATATGATTATGTAACACATATCACACATGAATAATATTTTGAATGATTTTAATGATTTTGCAGTCAAAGCTTAAATTTGCTATAGAGAATGAAGACAGTAAGTTAAAGTATCAATATTTAAGAGTTGGAGTTTGAGTCCTGGAAGGGTCAAGAATTTTCTCTTCTCCACATTGTCCAGACCGGCTCTGGGGCCCACCCAGCCTCCTCTGGGTACCAAGGGTTCTTTCCCCAGGGGTAAAGCATCAGGGGCTTGAAGCTGACCACTTAACTCCATCTAATGCAAAGGCCAAGAAAATGTCGATCTATACATCTATTCCTTCACACACCTTCATGGCGTAGTGCTTAATTAATTGAGCACAGGGACATCTTTACCTTTTTATCTTGCCTTTAGTGATGTGATGGGAGCATGCAGTAGCGTAGTGGTTGAGAAGCTATGCTACAAGCCGGACGGTCGCGGGTTCAAGTCCCGACAAGGGCATTGGATTTTTTTCAGTTGACCTAATCCTTCCAGCCGCACTAGGCCCTGGGGTTTACTCAGCCTCTAACAGAAATGAGTACCAGGAATGGATTAAATTTTTTTTCCTGAGGAGTAAAGCGCGGCCGGCGCATAAGGCTGACAACCTTACCGCCATCTTTGAGCCTATTGTCTAGACAATGTGGGACCCTCAGTGTCTCACAACCCTATGGGCCTTCACGGCCTGGTACAGGGATAGCTTTACTTTTTTTTTTATTTTTACTTAGTGATGTGATTGCCCCAAATGGATCATGCCACCTATATGAACAAAATATCATCCATAAGCTGCTGAAGACCAAACAGTGAACTCCATCATACTGGTAAAACCAGTTGTGAAAAAAAATGACATTTAACCTTTAGGTCCCTAGTACACCTGGGCCAGTTCGTCATGGAATCAAGTGACTATTATCATGCCCCCATAAATAAAGTCCTACATTTCATTCAAAGTGTATTATTAATGAAGGCTTAATCCATAGTGGAAGCACAATAGATCATTGAAGATTGCAGTGTGAAGGCAGAGTTTTATGGCCCACCCCTTACACACATACACACATAGGTTCCTAGTATGTATACTGTTAATTTCTTGAAGGTATCATGCATGGATTTTATTTAGGGATATGGCCTCCATGAAATATTGAAGTTTAACCTTTAACGTCCGAAGTGTCCCGTTCAGGCCAGTGATGAGTAAGGTCATCGTGGCCAAAATAACCCGTTTTGGACAGTTGGGCATTTAAACTCCGCTAGTGGAAGCGCGCACACACCGCTAGTAGAAGCGCATGCACAGTCCTAAATATTTATTTTTAAATGTAGTAATTACCAGACCGACTTGAGTAAAACCCTAATAGAGGAATTAAAATGATACCAAAGTGAACAACAACAAAAAGAATATACATATGAGTTATGCTCAAACTCATCCATGAGCCAGTACTTTTATTTCAGATTCTGCAAATTAATGTGTTAAATTTATGTAGTAAATTTCGATGCACATACCTTTTTTGTTATCTGCTTGATGTATATATAGGCTGAAATGAAACTACAGTATTCGATTTCACTACGAACGCACAGAAAACAGATCGCACTCTGTATCTCAGCCATGATGCAGCTGTCTGTTCATGCCCGTAGAAAGGGCAATGATCTTTTGCAGCTATAATGGAAGGTCTTAGCACTGAAGAAGGGACCCCTCTAGCTATTTCTTGAATAGCCATGCTTTCATTCTTCTGTCATTTAGTCAAAATATTCGAAAATCTCAAGAGTTTAACAAAGATGTAAGGTTTTCCAGGAGAGAACCAAATGATTATATTGCTTCCATCTGTTTTATGGCACCAGGGACTGCTAAAATTTGTCAAGTGTTACAAACAGAAAAATTTATAATGCAGAATAAATGTGAAGAACTTGGAAACCAATTTTGCAGTACGCATCAAAATTAAAAGAAGAAAATTGGAAATAGAGTATAACATTTTATATAAAATTTTTCAAATCTTCCCGTTGTAATATGCGACATTATGTTCTTTGCTGATACAAACAAAGTTAATTCCATCCATTTATCATAAAAACTGTGTTAGACACAGCATTTTTAAACACAATGCTTAAAATTGTTTAAATAATTTCGTCAATCAAGTTCATCAAATTTAACTGAAAAATTAAATCATCACATATATATTCTCCATGGATGACTGTCAGCATTGTGCTTATAACTGAACCAGAGGATAACACTGTGTACACTTTACTGAAATAAAAGTAGCTACTCATACAACATGGCTTTTAATTAATTTTAACTGATACTGTACAGTTATTTTTAACAACTAAACTTATTGAAAACAAGTTTGTGTAACTTTCATCCATTCATGCACTCACTAATAATAGGCCCAATCTACCCCATGATTATACATACATGAATGGCTCTAGTCAGGTTTCCAGGTCGTATGCTTTTCTATTCGAATAATGATCTTCCATACCCAGCATTTGGTATGTAGAAATTATCTCATTTTCAAGTAAACAAAATACAACTAATGGAGTGGAAATGGAAATTAAATTAACAGGAACTACATCTGATTACTTAATTTAAATCAATGATGTCATTGAAATAATGTTGTTTCTTTGATTACTGAATCATTGTAGCTAAACTTTGTTGACAGAATAGTTATTGGCGTGGTAGATGACAACATCAGTTTCAGTTACCAGGATCTTGCTTTCAGCCTGCATGTTTATCCTTAACTGAGGTCTGGAAATTCTTGTTGTTGTGTTCTTTTATGCAGTAAGTATTGTCACTTAAATTATATGAAGCTACATTAACTTTTGCTTAGGTTTTTCAAAAGAGTTTTCCATAGCCACTCTTGCTTGTGTATGGGGGATATCAGAAACCATATAAGCACCCTTTTGGTATGTCCAATTTTTGTGGTAAGACACACTATGTGATGATTAGGGTTCCAGCCTTGTAGTAGGTAACTATGTTCTGCCTATTTGGTGTGTGAATGGAAGTAGATACACTGTTCTTACGATTATCCATTTTACTAATTTTGCATATGGCATGTGGAATCTTTCAAGCATGTCCATATAGTTGTCCTTTTACTTTCTCATATATGTAGGATATATGAGTCCTGTGATTGTCAAACAAGCTGATCTTAAGATTTTATCAGATTTATATGTTTTCGCCTCACTGATTATAAAAAAGTGACTTTTCATATGCCAGAGGTTGTATGTATGAATGTGTGTTTTGCTAGTGCCTTAATGGTGGACAGGTTTTATGCATATTCAGTGTTCAAGGGTTTATCTACCCTACTTCAGCGTCTTCTGAATTTGAATATTCCAGTCCCTAAAACACAAAATGTGGACATTCTTGAAAATGGTTCTATGATTTTGATTAACCTTTAAACGCTGGGCTTTTGAAATGGTAGTATGCTTGAGCTGGACAGAGTTTATTTAAATGCATGTTGCTACTCTGCGTTTAAATGTCCGTTCCTGTTAGGGCGCTTAAAGGGTACATTTCGTTTTAATGGAGGTGTGCCCTCAGGCCACACTTTTTAAGTTTGCACAAGTTCCTTTTCAGTGTTTTCAACCCGATAAGACACTCCAGACATTTGTTGCTCTTTTTTCATTGGTGTTCTATTTCTGTGATGATATTTGTAAATGATCAATAGTTTGTCTAGTTGAAGTCGATTTGTTGTTGGACTGTTTGCTTGTTTTATTGTGCTTAGTTTTGAAGTAAGAATGACCTTGCTTCGTGCCCCCACTTTCAACAACACATGAAGTGTTGAAGTTCTGCACATTTAAATAACAATCATATTATTTATTTATTTATTTATTTCCTCTCTATAGATCATTGTTACATGATATAGGACAAGTCAGTTACTGTATATTGGCTGATTACAATAAGAGAATAAAGTTACAATACTTACAATTGTTTACAATAGTTAAGAGTTCCTATAGTGTGAGGTGGAATCCATATTATGTCCCCTCGACACATCAGCTTCCATATGTCCTATTGTAACTGTACTGGTGATAATGCTTATGGAGAATTTGATGGAATGAGGATTGGCAGGGGAAACCGAAGTACTCGGGGAAAACCTGCCCCAGCGCCACTTTGTCCATCACAAATCCCACTTGACTAGACCGCAGCGGTGGGAATCCAGCGACTAACCGCTTAAGCTATGGTGCGGCCTTTGAGATAATATTGGTGAATTTTGTGATAGCACTGGTATAACGTTTCACTGTAGACTACACTGCAACATATCATTACATCTGATCTCCCTTCCTGGTGCACCTTCTTGGTATCTGCAATCTGTCCAGAGTAGCCCATTCAGGTTCATCTCTGACCATTATCTTGGTTTCTGGAAAAAAGGCAGTATGGATTCCCAAAACCGATTATTCGTGAATTATGTGATTATAATTGATTAGTATTTGTCTCACATGAGAGAAACTCATCCACTTTATAAAAAAAAATGACCGAGTAGGTAAGTTTTCAAAGTGTTTTTGAACTTGTATAGTACCGGTATTTCTTTAATATATCGTGGCAGATGAATTAGCAGTCACAGTCCTACATTGTTGAAGTTGTTCTTGAATAGACTACACACATTAATACACCAAGCCACTTCATTAGTAACGGCTAAATAGTAAGTATTACGTGACAAGCAAAAAAATATTTCGGATGACGTATTGTGGGGAAAATTCCTGACTCCTGAAATTGGCGCCCATAGTTTGAGAGAATTAGCTGCAGATGTCAGTACATGCAAGCAGCGTGCCTACTCGATAAATCCGTCATTGTGACCAACAAAACTGGGTGGATGCGAAAATCGGTAGGATTGGGAAAAGAAGGTAGCATTGTCGAAGTGTCATTCTTAGAAAAAATAATAAACAAGCATGGTGGTTTTTGCAGCTTCCCTCTCTCTTCTTTATTGATATGGGAGAATGGTTATAACGAAGATTATAAATATATTCCTGCTGATAGTGATTTCCGAAGGTAAAACAAATAATAAAACACGCTATATTGGTTGGAGAGCTCTCAAATGGCCTTGCAGTAGTATAATAGTGATTATTGTAGAACGACAACCGTGATGGTTGTCCCAATACTTTTGTTATTACAGAATATCAGCATTCGGTTATGTGTCTCCACCTTATGTAAAATTCGTTAGTTAATTTAGACATACAAGTAAAGGAACCCGTTTAGCTAAATTCATCATTATTCCATTTCACAAAAGCTTTGGCAGTACGGAAATGTTTACCAGGTATGCAGTTTCAAGAAGTCTGTACTACATATCGTGGAGTTGATCAGAAATCATATAATAGTTAGATTTAGTTTATTTATATATTTATTTGTGATTTGATGTGAATGCTTATGTTACTATAGGAGTGAAATGTATGAATTAAAAGACAAGAATTTTATGTTTTTATAGAGATTATGAGCCGAAAATTATTTCGAGCCCCTTGCCAAAATTAATTCATTGTAATTTTTGATAGGAAATACATTTAATGTCATGTGATTGTTTTACAGATACTTGTATTTATTTTTCTTTTTGCTTTAGTCGTTGAAGTCTTTGCTCCTAAATTTCAGAAACGTCACATTGCTGTAGATCACTGCCACTTTTCATTGATCTCATTTTCCTTACTTTAATAAAAGGCACACAGCATGGCCACAAACACTAAGAGTATCTGCAGCAGTCGGTGAGAGTCATGGAGTGTCTCTCTGCCCATGAATCAGGCTTGATATTGGTATGCACTGAGTTAGAGCTTCCATCAGGAGCATATAGTCTCAGCTTGAGGAGGTATACCCATGTTATGATTTGCATAGTGCAATCCACACATTTTATAATGCTGCTACCTGAATAGTAGCAGCCAGGCAAGTCAAGTTTGGATTTTGACAGCCATTTTCTCAGAAATGGCTCTGTACTCAAAGAACTGTGCCTAATACAAGATGGTTTTCTTAATAAGTGAAGTGGTGTGATTAAAAGTTCATTTTCCACAACACCTAGACTAGCTTTTATTTATTTAATTTTTATGCATTTATTGAGTTTTTGAACATTATCCATTATTTTGTTTTTATTTAAAAAGTATCTGAGAGTAGATTCTGTCTTCACCCTCAGGTAAAAGCATCCTCAGTTGGGCCCAATTGATAGACCTAGTCCCTGTCTCCAAACGTCAGAACCAACGCAAGACAGGATATATAAACTAAACATAACATAAATCATCAGCAGGAGTTTGGACAAACATTAAAAAACTCCACATGCATGAGGCATTGCACCTGTGGCCATGCAGGCTTTTGTCTGAGGATGGGGACAAGAGTCCAGTCTCTTTAACATTTTTAAATAAAATGGAACACTTGATAATGCCCAGAAACTCAATAATTGTGTTTATATACCATTGTCACAAACTTCTAGATTTTATTTAATTTTTGTGGCTTACTTGATGCTGTCATTAGCTCATACCATATTTCTATATGTATAATATAAACTCCGTTGTAAATGCAACACTTTATTGTAGTTCTTGTCCCCCTTCTTTCACACTACATGTTTCGGCTGCAACCGGCCATCATCAGGTGTATTTTACTTCATGTAACTGTCACACTGCACTCAATATTAACATTTAAACTCCAGATTTCCAATTGTTCATTGCTCTGTCATCAATCGGCACCCAATATTCCAGAACTTCCCTTGTCGATTTGGCAATTATGTTTAAAATCTTTATTAATATTGACTCGTTGATTGGTTTATAATTTTAAATTCTCAATTTAGCTTTAATATTTAAAATTTATATTTAAATTTAAAATAAAAAATCACAGAGATACCTGCTCTATGCTTGTATGTGCTGCAGCGGCTACCTCTTGCTTTCAGCACAACTCGCGTGTTATCTGTAATATACAGATGTTCGTGTTACTATGTTTGTACGTTATTCC